GCGCACTCGCGCCACGGGAGAGCTCGGAAAAACGCGCAGCTCCCTCGTATCCAAGGACCAGCCATCGCCAGGAGCAAGAGTCTCCCTGGTGACACCAGCGGCAATTGAACCGCGGCTGCCACGTGGCGTGGGCTGCCGACCAGGGTAGCACGGTCAAGTGGGTGTAGGCCAATATCAGGCTCGGAGAGGCGAACCGATCGATCAGGACAAACCCGTCTCCCCCTATATTACACGCCTGAGGCGGGTTACGCAAGCAGATCTGCTCCGTTCGTCTCAGGGCGCGCCGCACGTCCGCATCGCAGTAGACGCTGTCGTCATCTGCGATGGGGAAGGTCGGGAGCGCACTGGGACAACCGGAGGTGAGGGAAGAACACAGGCCAGACCCCGCGCTCTCTGTAGTCCAAACCGACGCAGTCTCCATACAACAACTCCGAGTCGCCTCTTTCTCTTCGGGTTAGGGTCTCGGAGAGAGGGCGGGGTTCGAGTTCTCTCCCGCTGGCGGAGGCGTCAACAGCAGGCGATCGCTCGTGCTGTTGACGTCACCGGTGCAGGGGGCGAGAAGTTCAAACGACCCCCACCAATTCGAGAAGGAAGTAGAGAAAGAGAGAGAGGGATAGAGAGAGTCGCCGCCGGGGCTGCGCTTGCGCACAGCGGGGCGGGCCACAGACCTAAGGGCCGTGGAAGGGATGGGAGCGACGGGATCAACCCAATCATACCCCTAAGCAGATGGTCATCACGGATCGCTTCCCCTGTCCCCGCCCGGATAAGTACGCACCCGCATACATCAACATGCATGCAATCAACAACAATCAACAGGACATCGAATCATCCATGGACTTTCACACCACACATGCATACAACAAGGTCCCGCCACTCGGGGCCTCACACACACACCATGCGTGGACAAAGCAGGAATGGAGATAAAAGCGAGTCCTCRTTGTACAAAAACGTCTTCACACAGCTGGCCCAACTAGGCGCAGCCCCAATCCATCAAGGCCACCGACAACCATAGCCACAAGGCCCTGACGCTGCCGGCGTCTGATCTCCACCACCGCTCTGTCCCTTCGGCTGTCACACCCCGAGTCCACCGCTAAGCCCGACCCGCGTCGTCACTCCGCCCGTTACAGGGGCTCGTCAAGCCTGTTCGGCGCCGCGGACCTCGCGCATAGCTCGCGCAGCATTGCAGCGGAGATCAAAGAGAGGGAGAGGAGGGGGTTGCGCGAACTTATAGCGCGGGAGGCGGCGGGGCGGCGGCGCAGGGCGCGGGGAGCAAGGGAAGGGTTGGGGTTTGAGAAGGGTCGATGTCGAGAAGTCTTCTGGTCCTGCGTGATTGGGGTGATCGTTCAAGTGGTGCGCGCATTTTCGCGCCTTCCAGATTGATCCGAGCATCCCAACCACTCAGCCAATCGTTCTCGGCCAAAGGCGAGGCGGGGATCGGGCTTGCATAAAGGAAGACGAAGGGTCCATGCACGACGAAAGCACGCGCAGCAAGGAAGGAAGATGGCACGGGGATGCGAAGCAAGAGAAAGAGTTTGCGTAGCGCGTGAAAATTCAAAAAAGCAGCCGAGCATGCAAAAATCCGAAATTCCCCATTTCCTTCCCCACTAAGTCCTAACCGTTTCTTGAAATTCGACGCGCCCGTTATTCGGCCGCGCGAAACTTATTCTCAGCTACCAGTTCAAAAAAATAAAATAAAAAAAAAGTGAGAAACAAAAACGAAAGCAAAAAGAAAACCCCTGTTGTTCGTATTCGCACTTTCGGGCTTTCGGAGGGTTTTCTCCTCAAGGGTACGGAAAGCCACGAAGTACGGATCTGGGCTCATCACAAGTGTCCACGTTCTGTCCCACTCCATTTCCTGGCCTGGTAGTGCCTTCCAAATGTTCGTCCACCATTTC